CCCCATGCTCAGGCATTGAGAGAGAGAGAGAGAGAGAGAGACACACACTAGGACACTAGGAGAGGGAGAGGAGGGGGGGGCGGGGAGGGCGGGCAAGGGCCCACTAGCAAAAAGGATTGGATCGATTGAGCACCAGAATCTGAACGTGTCCAATGACTACATGCAGAACTCATGATTTTCTGCAGGCATTTCTGGATTGGGGGGGTGCGGGCAAGGCCCACAGCAAAATGGATTGGATTGAGCACCTGAATCTGAACGTGTCCAATGACTACATGCAGAACTCATGATTTTCTGCAGGCACTTGGATTCAGGCGTTGAATCAAACGCTCTTTGGTCGATCATTCTGCCCAAACCGCCCCTGGGTACGAGGTTAATTTCAGCCACCGGGTAGTTGGGTATAATCGCAATTTGCCCCGTCCACCTCAGTCCCAAGTATGCCCTAATTCGCGAGGGTATGTCCATAATTCAAGTATTCCGGTAGTTGGTTATAACCGCAATTTGCCGGTACCAACCTGTGTCCACCTCAGGCTTGGGTATGCGAATAATTTCTGTTTTTTCAATTGGGCGATGGCCCCTTGAATAACTGCAATTCGCCCTGTCCACCTCAGTCCGCGGTATGACGATAAGTTCGATAACCCATAATTTCCGAGGGGGTATGTCCACAACTCGAGCATTCTGGTGGTAGGTTATAACCGCAATTTGGCGCTACAGAACGTGGGAAAAGAGGTAATGAGTCGAGGACAACTAAAAGGGAAAAAAAAGAAAAAAAAAAAGGGGGGTATGACAACATGTACAATTGAGCCGGGGGTAAACCACCGGACTATTTGTTTAAAAAAAAGTTAAAAAAAAAACACCGGAGTGAGGCTGCCCTGATGTTTATCAACAACAACAAAAAAAAAAAGCTCGTTGCCTCTGAAAAAAAAGGAAAAAAAAAAACAAAGGGACGTTGCGTCTACAGAAACGGCTATGGGAGGGAGAAGAAAAAAAAAATGGCAGTTGAGCAAAACGGCTGAGAGAGAGAACGAATTTTTTTTTTTTTTTTTTTTTTTTTTTGGATCAGATATTAAACTGATCAGAACAGATACTACACTTGATCTTAGCCAAAAGGCCGAGAAAACCCAAGAGCGTAGCTCAGTGGGTACACCCATGAACTGTTGAAATACAGACCTGTGTTCGAATCCAGATGATGGAACTTGACGAGTAAAACCGACTACTAATGAATTGCTTGGGGCCGGTCAGCTCAATGATAATATCTCAAGACCGTCACCCCTTTAAAAAAAAAAAAAAAAAAAGGCCGAGAAAGAACCTGCTGCAATCCTCAACAAACCGTGCTCTCGACGATCGGTCGCGCCAGCGCAAATCGCGCAGTCTACCGTCTTCCCCTGAACACAATGGACGCTTATTTTGGCTGTATCTGGCCGGAAATATAGCTCGTATGCATTCATTTTTAGGGTGCGTTATGCTCGGGGGGGAACACGGTAGATTCCAGGGGACGACCGGTAGCCATCTTAGCAGCGACCGGTTGCTGCCGGTAGATCGACAGACCGCAGTAGCACCACCGCACTAATTCGTCCTCGTCGTGGACACTCGCAAGGCTTCGCGCAAAGTTCGGTTCATCACGACTGTATATTTCCAGCCTTGTCCATTCGCGGCCTTATGTGTATTATGTATAGGGCAACTTCAGTAGAGTCACAAAAACGAGTTATAATTGCACTATGGGCAAAGATTCAGTTTGCAATCGCACTTCGGACACCCACCTGGCCAGAAAGCCGCGTTGTATACATTGCCCGAACCGCAATTTGGAACTGTATCTTGGCCCATAGTGCAATTATAACTCATTTTTGTGACTCCCACGTAGTTCCCCCATATATTGTCACAAGATATCAGAGCGCAAAAGCGAAGAAAACCAAGAAAAAATGAATTTTACTTATAAAAAAAAA